TAATGACATCACTTCCAGGAGACATCATCACACCATGTTTTGGGACATCTGCAGGCAGGGTCCCCCCCCCCCCCCCCGGCCAGTGGCAGGGAGGAGCTTGCAAAATCGGGGGAAGCCCCACTGGGTCCGGGGGCCTGGCAACCCTAAGCAGAGAACTTATTTTTCTAATTTTTCTCCCAGGATTCTCCCTCCCCCTGAACAACCCTCTCACCAGGCACTGCCTGCCAACCCTTCTAAGTCCCTCAAGGTTCTACATTGTGTTCCATGTCTTTCAATATCTATGTCAAGCTGCTGGGAAAGGACATCTGGAGATCTGGGCTGAATTGCCACCAATACATGGAAGATACTCGGCTCTATCTTCTGTTTCTAGCAGATCCCAAGGAGGCTGTGGAAACCGGGCAAGAACCCAACAAAGGGACTGAAACTTTGGAACTCCCCCCAGGGGAAATTTCTGCCTCTCTCTCTTGTTGTCTTCCGCTGGCAAGTTAAGACTTCTTTAGAACAGCTGAAATTACACTTTTCAGAAAGAACACACGCAGTTTTCATTTGACAGCTTGGTGTACCCCCAAGTAACTCTTACTGGCCATCCTCCCTGGTTAAGTGTTGTATGTTATATTTATGTGTTTTATTAAATAGTTTAAATATTTTATATATACATTATTTTAAATGCTGCTTTAAATGTCTGCTGCCTTGGGAACCCTACTGGGGTGGAAATGTTTTAAATAAATATTCCATATCGTTTCGTTTTTAAACTAAAGAGAAATAACTATTACTGCTTTACTTCACTAGCTTAACCCTGCCCACTAATCAGCCAGAATAAAAACAGAACTTAACAGTTCTGCTGCAGTCTGTCAGTAGGACCCATACTTCTTCAGTTTATCCCAATTTCTGTATGCATTTTTGTGCCTTTAGTTTTCACTTTGGTTTCTTTGTTTTTCCCCTGAGGTTCTTCCAGTTCTTTTGAGACCACTTTTACCCCAATCTTTTTCTGGAAGCTGATTTTGAGTTGGCTTTTCCCATGTAATGTTTCTGTTGGGTTTTGTCCCACCCACTTCCAGCCCACTTTTTCAATGACTGGACTGTCATTATTATTAAACTACTCCCTCTTCTTCCCTACCCTGAAGTCAAGTGTTTTTTATTTTTTTAAAAAGCACTACAATATTGATATATCACTTGACTGTTGTAATGATAGTTTAAGCAGGTTCTCTAATGTCGCAGCTTTCTTTTTCTTTTTTTAAAGAAATAAGTCTCTAGATCCCTCTGTCATGGAGATAAAGAAAAAATGCATATCACTGTGAGGAAAGAAGGCACTTTAAAAAAAATGAAAGCTGGGAATTTGCAGAACCTGCTTAAACTATCATCACAACACTACATTGATATACTGGTATTTTACTGTCAGATTTTTAAAAATGCAGCCATATATCACTGTAAGTAGGCACACAAAAATAAAAGGGGCAGGGTTTTTGCTGTGATGCTGATGATTATAACAGTGTCCTTCCTTGAAAATCCTCATTATTTAAGGCATACACAGAAAAAAATAAACTCCTTGCATATGCAGTTTTGATGCTTACTTCTCTTTAATTATCAGTGCTTAAGGATTAGAGCCTGATCTACCAGAATCAATGGAAATTTCCTCACTGATCTCAGTGGGACGTGGGATTGCTTTATCAGGGAACAATCCAGAACCATTTATTATTAGATTTGTTTGTATCCCACCTTTCTCTCAATGGGGACCCACAACAGCTGATATCGTTCTCCTCTCCTCCATTTTATCCTCACAACAACCCTGTGAGGTAGGTTAGGCTGAGAAGGGGTGACTGGCTCAAAGTCACAAACAAGCTTCCATGGCATGAGTGCGTAGTCTCTTAACCACTACACCACACTGGCTCCATTAAAATATGGCACTTCTCTCCACTGAAGATTGTGAATTCTACTATCTGTCACTAATCTCACTTCCTCCCATGCTAGATGCTTCCTGGACTTATAATACACATTATAAAGGCGTTTGTGAACACCGAGGGCACTCACTCAAACTTGCAAGGGTTTGAAAATTTGCAAGACTTTATTGCAATTCTCAAGCAGGTCTTCTCGGAAGTAAGTTCCATTTTATTCAACGGGGCTTACTCCCAGGAAAGTGTTCTCAGGATTGCATCCTTACGGAAGGCTTACTGCATTTACCAAACACCAGGATGCATTCTGAAACAACACACAGCAATACATATAAACCTATAACCTACAGACTAGCTCTGAGAATCAACACCGGTGCATATTTTTGACCTCGACGGAGAAGCAGATTTCATAACATTTTTAATCGCTTTCGGGGCGTCAGTAACAGCTGGAGACTGCAAATGACGCTTTTCAGAAAGAACGCAGGCAGTTTTGGTTTGACAGCTCGGGGCCCTTAACGATGCCTCAGAGAGCCTGACGTGGGCCAACCGTGTGTTCGTCGACATTTTAAACGACGGCGACCTCCTCGCCGACGGCCGCTGTCACAGCACAGTGAGTGACAGGCGGAACGAGGGAGATTTCAAACCCTTGCTGGGAGCCCTCAGCTTCTCGCAGCGCCTGAGAGTCTCCGCGGGGAAAGAGCCGCTGCTCGGCAAGGGGGAGGGGGCGGCGAGGTTCGAGCCAGCGCCCTCCCAGTGTCCACCCAGCCTCTCAGCGGAAGCAGAGAGAGAGAGAGAGAGCAGTCGGCCGCCCCGGGCCTCGGCGCCGTTCTCCCTCCCAGCCCCGGTGAGTGGAAGGGCGGCCAGGGCCGCGCTCCAGCTTCGTTCCCTTTCCCCGGGGCCCGAGCGCAGGCCTGGCTCATTGTTTCTCACACAAACAGGAAGCCACCTCGGCAAGGGAGCCCGAGGGTGGGGGGGAAGCCAGGCGGCGGGTGAGCGACAAGCGACGGCGGCCAGTGAGAGCCCGGGCCGCCGAGCGCGGCAGCCAATGAGCTGGCCGGAGCGCCGCGGGAAGGCGGGAGTTCCGGGCGGGCTAGGTGGCGGGCGGGAGGGCTGGCAAGGAGGAGGAGGAGGAGGAGGTGGCGGTGGTGTCGGCCGGGCCCCCTCTCCCGCGGCAAGCCCCACCTTTCGGCTTCCTCGCACCGTCAATCAAAATAGCGGGGGGAAACCCCGGAGTGGGCTCAGGCCGCCGCCGCCGCCAACCTCCGCTGCAGCCCGCGCGCACCATAAGCATGTCCCCGGCGGTGGCCGCCTAGCCCCAGTGGCGGCGGCGGCGAGCGGGGCCTGCGCGCGAGAGAGAGAGAGGGAGCCAGCCAGCGAGAGCGAGCGAGCGAGCAAGTCTCCTTCCTTTCCTCCCTCCCTTCCTCCCAGCCAAGTCGGCAGAAGCTCCCGCGCGGCTGGCTGCTTGCTGGCTCGCTCCCCTCATCCCGCCTTCTCTCTCTCCCTCTCTCTCTCACACACCATGACCGGTACGTACGGGCCGCGGCCGGCGCTCCCGGGGTCCGGCGGGCGGGCGTGTGTCTGCCTGCCTGTGTGGCGCGAGCGGCACTGGCTGGAGCAGCAGGAGGAGCAGAGCCAGGGGGAGGAGGGAGAAGAGGGGCAGGGGCAGCAGCGGCGGCGGCGGCAACAGCGGGGGGAGGGAGGAGGGAAAAGGGAGGAGGAGGAGGAGGAGGGCTCCTCCGCGCGGGAGGGAGGGAGGGAAAGGCGAGGCGGGCAGGGCGGGCGATGGGGAAGGGAGGGGGCGAGGAGCGCTCCCGTCAGTGAACCTTCCCCTCCCCCTCCTCCTCCAACCACCGCCATC